TTTGGCAGGAATGGTTGCTGTTGGCGGTGCTGATGACGATGCGGGGGTCTGCGAGGAGGGCGATGCAGTTGCTGGGCCGAAGATCGTCAAGCGAGCTTCGGCCAATTCGCTTTGCAGGGCGTCTATTTTTGTGTAGCCCATGCTGCGGAACGCGGCAACGCGTTGCTCGCGTGGCGCCTGGAGCAAGGCCTGCAGGGCGGTGCTTGTCCCGGCCATGCTGTGCGAGGCAGGGAAGGGCAAGGCGGGGCAGTGCGGGAAGGCAAAGATGCTTGATCAAAGGCTGTGCAAACCTCAAGTTTTGCTAAGTGCCATGCGGAGCAAAAGAAAGAACACTCTGTGCAGAGCAGTGCATGCAAAGCGTGCAGATGCAAAAAGGTGTCCTCTGTGAAGTCGTCCATGGTGAGAAAGTGCATGACCTGACAATATGCACTTGCGGTGCATCGGGCCAGGCGTGGCTGAGGCTCCGCAATGAAGTTGAGCTCGAAGACGATGCAGTGACCTGGGCAGGGCAGGGCTGGGGCTATGGGAAAGGAAGGGCCAGTACACAGAAGACATGTTGCAAGCGAGCTCGGGTCCGTAGTCGATGCCGAGCTCAGGACCTAGGTGCGTGTGCAAAGCGATGCACGTCAGAAAAATATGCAAGGAGGCCTTGCAAGCAGTAGCTGAGCAGGGCACTGCGTTGCCAATCTGAAAACCTTGCATTGCAAGCGATGCATAAAGTGAGAAGATGCTTCTCAAAAAACCGGGCGACAGGCGTTCTGAATGCGACAGAGCAAGACCTGCCGTGCAGGGCGGGTGTAAAGCAACCCGAAGAAAAGGCCAGAAGGCTGGCCTCGAGGTGCAGCGCGGCTGACCTGTCGTTTGGGTTGCAAGCGTGCAAGGCAAGCCGAAAGGACGCTTTGCGGCGTGCAGAGAAACCGCTGAGAAAACATGCAAGACGTGCTGTTTTGTCATGACTGTTGTGCGTTGCGTCTATGTGCAAAAGGCAATGCGTATGTGCCGTGCTAAAGGAAATCCACCAATGCACGATCACAGGTTGCGGATTCTGTGCTCGGGTGGCTTATGCATATGATGACGGGCAAGGTATGCCCTCGCCGCCAAACAAGTGCAGGGCGGCCGTTTAAAAATATAAAATTTGGTCGTTGCTGAGCAATGCGAGTGCGATGCCAAATAAGGCGATCAGTTACCAAAACATTGCGAATGCCGTGGTGATTGAGCCGTGCGATAATGCTGAACCAGGCGCGGAGGTCATCTGCCACGCAACACAAAGTTGCGCGAGGCTCTGTGCTAGGCTCACCTTCCGGTTCATGCGGTGCGGGGCAATGTGCTAGTACTGAAACATATCTGCAGTGCTGTTGCCACGAAACGCTGCTATGCCAATTGCCAATGATGCGTTGCAAGAGCTTTGCTCGGGCGGCCCGCCAAGCGCTAAGCACTTCCACGCGGCGCACTTCTTTGCGAGTGCGTTGCGGGCCCAGGCACACGATGCCGGGGGCAATCTGTGCAGGGCCTGCAGAAAAGAGCGATGCCATACTCAATGAATCTTGTGCTTGCCAGTGCGTAAGCTGTGCGGGGTTGACAGCGCAATTCCAAACGCCAAAGAAAAAATGCAGTGCATTGCGTTTGTGCCAACCAACAGCCAACCAGCTCAATGCATCATCATCTGTCGCCAAGGATGCCATGCTTTTTTTTGTGCGGTCAAGAAGATACTGCAGTGCCACTGTGTTGTGCAGGTTTGTTATTAAAATCCGGCGGTCTCCAGGCGTGAGATCCCATATTCCTGACATTCTGCGGTGCACGGTGCTATGCATGAAGGAAAGCTCTCGCCTATCTGGCATCTCTAGAAAGCGGAGCAAAATGCTTGCAGAGCGTTGCGAGAGAAAGACTTCTGGCAAGCTGCCCGAAATGTATTCTGCAGTGCCTGGAGACTCACTGCTCAGATGCAGCAGTGCCTCGACCAGAGTTGCGGTGCTGTGGATGGCGGGCCGCGGCTCTGGAGTAGCAATGCGTTGCTTCTTATTGCCTTGGCGGTGCGACATGGCGTCAGTAAAAGCGGCTAGATGGGATTACTGACGGGGCTAGTCAACCTGAGGCGATGCGTCGAGAGAAGGAAATGATCAGTCCATTTCTTCAAGAAGGATAACTGCGTCAACTGCGTCAGTGCACTGCGGCGCGCCTTCTAAAAGTGCGATGCGGTGCTCGAGGCTGCCAACCTTGGCCAAGGCTTCCTGCAAGCGGTGCGCGAGTGCGTCTATGCGTTCATGCAGGGTGGCTCCCATCTCTATGCAGTCTTCTGCAAGGCTTTGCAATGCGCGGACCAGTTGGTCCGGCGTTGCGGCCTCAGGCGGGTCCATGGCGTCGAGATGGAGGAAAACTGCCATGCAATGCGAGTGACAGCAAAACAAACGATGTGAGTTTGAAAAAAGCTTGAAGCATGCGATGCTGAGCATGAACGAACTAGTTGTGAGTAGCTTGTGCCGAAACAATGCAAAGCAGCGGTTACATTCGACACAAGAATATAAAACACAGTTGATACAAAAAACAAACTCACAACTAGCGCACGCCATTTGGCTGCAAATTCAGGACAAAGCGCGACCCCAACCCGACCCTCGTGCACCAGCAACCAATTCGCCACTCCAACTTTGACCTCGACCACTCCCGCTTCTTCGAATCGCAAATCAGTAAGCAAGGCACAAGACCACCGACGCTCAGCAATAACCTTGAAGATAGCCGCTGTTTTCCCTGCTGGGTCTTTGCCAAACTTGGCACCCAAACCCCTCGTGTTCCAGGACCCCACGACCACATGACCTTTGCGTTTGACTCCAAAAGCCCCCGAAGCACGATAACAAGCCAAACGACGTTTAACCTTTTTAAAAAGCAAACGTTTCCTGAAAGCAGCTGTTTTACGAGCTACCGTTCGCCGCTGACACCTCGAAGCCGAAGGAAGACAAGACTGTGGTGAAGACAATCCGCGTTTACTTCCTCGACGCACCCCCTCAGAATCCTGCAATTGCGCTTGACTCATGAGATCATTTAACGCAAGTTCCATAGAGTCAGGGTCTTGTTCCAGAAGTAATTCCACCTGTGCCTCCATCTCAGCATCCAAAAGTTCGCGCCATACATCCGCCGCCGCCTGCGTTCTCCAGTTGCCCCCCGCCACAGATTCCGCACGAAATCCCAACCACGAGCAGAAGGCCTTTCTGCCTCCCTTAGAAGCAATCCATTGCCCCAAACTGTGGAAATACCGCGGTTTCTTATCTGCTCTCACCGGATGGAAGTAGTCTTTAAAAGGAAAGAGATCGCCTTGAAGCAACACCCGCGACGGTGACTTCAAATCAGATGTGCAGTCTCTTTTAGTCAAGGAGGGAGGGGGAGGGGAAGGAGAGAGAGAGAGAGAGACAGAAGGAAAGGAATGAAAGGGAAAGAGAGTGCCCATTCTGAAAAAAGAGGGTTGAGCAGGCAGTGATCGCGTAGAGACAGTGTGTGCCAGACAGGAGCCAGGCAACTGTGGACCAGACCCAGAAGGCACCAAACCAACAGGGCCCCGAGGAGGGTCAGACCCCGAGCCCAACCCTGCTCCCTGAGGACCGGGAAGGAAGCCGAAGCCCCAACGGTCCACGGCCTCTTGGGACGAGCTGGTATCAAAAGACGACAGATTATTAGGCAAGGTTTGCCGCTGCCGCACCGATAACAAATCATCAGCAGCAACATTCCCCGGTTCACACTCCTCAGAGTGCTTGGCTCTGCCCCCTTTGCTGGAAACAACGTTAGCACCACAACATGTCAGGGGGTTGCCCTTGGACCACCACACACGCACCTAGCACGGACCTTGACATCATCTCGAGGAGGTTCGCGGCGAGGTCCAGATCCCGATCATCGTCGTCGTCGGTGGGACTGCACGGCCAGTACTGGCCACCCGCAGAGTTCCTGTGAAGCAAGCTGGAAACAACCCAAACCTCAAAGAACAGTCGGACACACATCCGGGACCAACAAAAAGCAAGGCCAAAAGAAAAGAAAAACGCAAAGGGAGAAGAGGAAGAGAAAGAGAGAGAGAGGGAGAAAAACAGAAGGGGGAGAGGAGACAGGACAAAGGAGGGGAGCAGAAGCACAAGACGCACGCAGAAAGGAGTCGTGAGCCGCAGCTAAAACCAACAATGGTCACTCTAGGACATGCGGCAAAGACAGTGGCAGCTGACCGCACTAACGGCAATAGAGGCAACAGTGAAAGCAAAAAAGCACACAAAGTATTGACATTAATGTGGTCCGTCTGCACTTTGCGAGCCGCAGCTAAAACCAACAATGATCACCCTAGTACAAAGGCAAAGACCTTGGCAGCTGAACACAGGAACGGCAATAGAAGCAGCAATGGAAGCAAAAATAAGCACTCAAAGTATTGACATGACTGTGGTCCGTCTGCACGTCGTGAGCCGCAGCTAAAACCAACAGTGGTCACCCTAGTACAGAAGGCAAAGGCATAGGCATCAGACCGCACGAACGGCACTGGAGGCAGCGATGAAGGCAAAAATAACCACTCAAAGTATTGACATGACTGTGGTCCGTCTGCACACCTAAAGGACACCAACACGCAGAACTCAACACAGAATGTAAGAAATACTACCTCAAAGCTCATGGGAGAGTGCAAACAAAAATAATCAAGCAGAGTATTGCATTCATCCCTGTCTGACAGACGACCAAGGGACAGAGCACGAAGTATTTCGCACGCTGAGGGTCTATCATCGCACATGCGAGGCATCATGAGCCATCACGGAAAACAGTTAAAAAGGGGGGGCGAAGGACGCGAGAAAATGGCCCAAGCAGCCAGATTAGCGACGATCGCGATCACCGCGCTGCTCCCGCTTCGGGGACTTGGCGCGTCCTTCGTCCCGCACCCTGGGAGCCGCGCCCCTACCCTTGCCCTTGCCTTTGCCCTTGTCATCCTTCGTGCTAGACAGGCCTTTACGCTTGCGTCGCCTGGACATTTCGCCCTGGGACAGCAGGACTCAGCACTTTAGGGGGCCATACAGCTGGTTCAAAAAGGGCCGGAGGGTGGATCTGACGAGATCGGAGAAGCGTAGGGCCACCAAAGAGGCACGAAACCGGATATCAACCCCCGTATTCGCTCCCCAGTCACCTCCTGTGGGGAACACCCCGATCACCTCCTCCTCTGCCGAAAGGATACCGCGGATCTCCGACCGTACCTGGGTTTGGAGGGCAATGTCCTCCATACAGCTCAGAGCAGTATCCAAGTCCTGAAGAACCAATTCGTAAAGCTCTTTCTTGACGTGCCACATTCCACCCTTGCTCCGGTAGAGTTCGCACATACGGTTGTTCAACGCCGTCAAGCCCTCCCAGCGTGTTCTCGTCGCGGCGGTCCATTCCGATAGCCCATCTTCCACCCGAGCGAGACGAGCCTCCATCTCAGACGACATGGCCGAACGTGGGGTGGGGAAGCGCGGACAGCGGGCAATGGGCAGGAAATCTGCGTAGCAAGATGAGCATCAAGACCCAACGCAACTTGCAGGACAAACAGACAAGCAGAGCACCGTGCACATGAAAGTCCTGACCTGTTGCAGGCAGGTCCTCCATACCAGCGTGAGCTCCAAGTGAAGCATGCGCAGGCAGGTCGCCAAGCTGACAGGGAGAGGCGTGCAAAGCAAGTGGATAGTACCAAGCCCTTACAGCGTTGCAGGTTACGGCTTCACAGGCAGGCTATAGCTATCACATGTAGGTAGAGCAAGGCAACAGATCATGACAGTACAGAAGCCACCCCGAAAGCCATACTTCTTTTGAGAATGTTTGAGAGATAAAGAATTTCCACGATGCATGTTTTGCGGGAAAAAGAAAAGAAAAGAAGGAACCAGGGAGAAAGACAAAACGGACATGGGCCAAAACAAAGCGAAAGCCCGGAAAACTGGACCGAATGACCACGGGAACGACAACGAGCGACCCCACCACCCAGCCCCAGAGACCAACGAGTGACAAACGACGAGAGGGCAAAGCCGGCGGAAAGGGGTCGGTGACAAGCACCCAATGGTCTCCCGACAAGCAGGACCAAAGCCCAACGATGGGGACGCACCATATCCGCACGAGACGACAAAACGGTCTCCCGTCAAGCGGGACCGTTCTGCCTAACCAAACACACAGTTACGACCGAGACGGACACGCCTTTTCATGAGTGATACGACTGCCGAACGTAGTGAAGAGGTGAGCACAAAACTTGCACTGGAGATTAGCTCGTTTGGAACCACGACAAGACGACTCGTGTGCAATACGAAGATCGATAGTTTGAAATGTTTCTGAACACAAGCTGCAAGTTTTATTTAGCGCAGCGGTGCCACGACAGCTGGCTTCATGAGTGACCTTATCCCCTGTCGTAAAACGAGAACGACAAAGACTGCACTGCCAGGAGGGACCTTCCTTCGCCGCCTCCTTCGGCCTAAGCACACACTCCTTACGATGTTTCAAAATGGTTTCATCAGTGGTGCCCTCGACATAAACTTTATCACAAAAAAGGCAAGTGCGCGACAGCACGTCATCACCCCTGCAGATACGTTCATGGGTGTTGCGGAACTCACGGGCATGATGAGGCTGCTTTCGTTTGCCCGTTGAGAACTGCAGTACGGAACTGCAACACATTCTCCACGGAGGAGAAGACAAAAGAAAAGGATTGGCGCACATGGAACCTGTGCGAGAACCAGAATCACATCATAAGTGAGGGATGTTAGTGTGGCATACAGGAAGCCGGAGACTAGAACCCGAAAAGGGCGAGGGGACTAAACCAAAATGTTTAGGGACAAAACAAGACGCAGGGATCCTAATCAGAATTCGGAGCAGACAGGCATACAAGGTTGCAGAACTTACCAAATCTCCTCCAGCCTTCATTGCAAAAGGCTTCGCAGCCTTCTCTCACGCACCGCAGCAGAGTGTCTACAGACACAGGCACTTCCAGAAAGTGCCTTCCTGACTTGTCAGCAGAAAAGCGTTATGGTCTTCTGCCCAGCGCACACGCTGCGCAATCTTGGCACTATGACGCATCTGCCTTGCACCGTGCACAGTGTCACGGTCAGCAGTACCGCCACAAGATTCGGCTGTAAATCTGCTAAGATTCGCAAGTGCTGTGGTTTTGTGACAGATTTCACACCGAAGGTCTGTATCAACGTCGAAAGGAGTCACGACCAAGAGTTTTGGCTGTACGGTTGTGTAGGATTCTTTTTTTAATCCGTTCTTTGTGGCGTCTGTCTCTTGCAACTTCAAGTTCAGCAGCTTCCTCGTTGGTCCAAGTCACACATTCAACCACGGTCTTGAGTGACTTGACGGTTCGCCGCTTGCTTGGCTGCGGGACAGACGAGTCGACCGCCTGTTTGCCGTGAACTCGCTTACGAGTAAACGGCGACCACAATGCTTTGGGAAGGCAAGAAAGATCTGGCACGAAGCTACGCTTATGATTCTCTTTTTGCAATTTTGCTTCCAAGGCTGCAGAGAAAAGAATACGATGGACTGCATCAGGCACAAGAAGCAAAGGACGTCTCGGCAATCCTTGCGTTTTTCCCAAGCCTAAGGCAGTCAGCACATTAACCTGATAACTTTCACGTTTCTTTGCATTAGCAAGATCCGGAAAAACCTGAGCTTTACAAATCTGGCCAAGGAGCTTGGTGGCAGAGCTGAAAAGGCGAGCCTGCCGTTCAGCAGTGACAGTAGGGAGCTCTTCATCTGCTTGATGAAGATACACATGTGTAGCTGCTTGGAAGTCTAATGCTAACTCAAGAAAACTGATTGGTTCGTCCCCAGGATTTTCGGGCCATCTGAGGTGTTTTAGATACCACATAAGGCTAGGGAAAAGGTCCAAAGAGTACAACCATTCAGTAGGTTTACTGGGACGTCTCCAATTAGCCGGTGCTTGGTTTGGAAAAACACTTGAAACTGATCAACTGGCTGCTGGTCGTAGCCCCAAGGGTAAGCTGGAAACAAGTGTTGATGCTCGGCAAGTTGTGGGTTAAGCTCAACCAGAGAGGGAGGTGTGCTGTGCGTGGAGGGCTCGTGCGGTGGGCTTACTGCAGGCTCAACCCGCGCATTGAGCTGTTCACGCCCTATTTTCTTAATGGTTGCGTCACGCAACTTGAGAATGGCGACTTGCATGCGCTGTATATCTTCAGTGAGACGCTTGCGATCTTTGACAGCTGCGATGGCCTGTGAGGGAACAGCATGCATTTTTTCACCCTTCTTGGCGAGATCATCAACGAGGTCATTGCGACGTTTCTGTTCGCGCTCCAAATCAGTTTTGCAATCAGCATCACTGACATGGGCAGCGACTTTGCTCACACGGAACATCTGGCGCCCCTTGTCGTTGAGTTCTTGCGTGTCCACAAATCTTCATGATCAGAAGGTGTGAAAGAGACACCAGCGAAAATCTTCGTTAGTGCTTTGGCGATCCAATCACTGTCCGTCCACAGGTGAGTTGGGGAGCAAGACTGCTCAACCCAACACACTACAGACATGGGTTCAGCGCGCTGCGAGCTTTGTGGATTGCCTTTGAGAGGAAGGGAAGTGTTACGCGGGTCATTATCCCCGTAGAAGAGTCCAAAACCAACTCGTCGTAACGGCATTGGGTCCTGTTGGATAAAGCAGGCGCCGTCTGAAGCTACAACCAAAAAGCCTTCAGTCCAGAGCTCATCACTAGATGCAGTATCTGCATCCAATTGAACTGAAAAACTTCAGAATCACACAGGGGATCGATGCATGTGTCAGCTTCGCTATCAGGCACTACAGCAACTCCGCTTTATCGCGTGCAAGCGGGAAGTCTGTCAAGCAGCGAAGCAGTGTATTTTGACTGCACAGTGACACGTGCCTCTGCCCATGATGGGCATCGCCAAAACATGTGTTCAACATCCTCGTCTTCACCTAAGCAGTGCGGACAAGTTGCCGATTTGACATAGGCTGCAAGCACAAGACGGCTTCGTGACTGCACTGCGCCTGAAAGAATGGCGCGCAAGTGGGTACACTCGTTATGATTAAGGCGCAAGGGACTAAACCGTTTAAAGGACCTAGTAGGACGGGAGGTGCTGTTGCGAAGCAGGCCAACAGTTGCGTCGTAGTCAACTTTTTGCCCTTCGATCCCTTGGAAATCATGCCTGCCTGTAAAAGCGACCTCTTGAAATGCACGGGCACGCAGGGAGTCTCTCAGCACATGCTTCCAATAGCCGTCGGGCCCATCAAGAAGTGGGAAAATGGTGCCTGATGCCAGTTGGAAACAAAAAGGAGATGCCCATTCCCATCCTAACATTTCAGCAGCGGTAAGCAAGGACTTCACCGGGCCCTCTGTTTTGGAGCCTTGTTGAACCACTAAATCCCATGCAGTTTCAAAGGTGCTGCGTAGATCCAGCCTGCGCTTAATAAGGATCCTACGGGCAACTGTGAAAACATGGTATACAGTGGCTTGATAAGCATCCAACCTGTGACCTTGAAGGATCAAAGTGAAGAGAGCAGTAGGACTGCGATTCCACGTGGATCCCCTCCACATGCAGGTTGTAACGGCTCGGCGAAGAGATTGCATCTGCGTCTGCGTAAGCATTTGCAGCTCGGATCCGGAGAAAGCGCAAGGCATGCCCGCGACAGCAGCCATCCGAGATCTTTCTTGAAACAACAAAGGGCAATGACAAAGCCTGCGTATGCATCTAGTAGCATTACTGACTCTTTTTTTTTGCGCTTATTAGTACAAGCGGGACCAGAAACAGTGAGGTTGCCGCCAACAAGCACGAAAGAGTTCTTTAAGCGGAGTTTATTGGGCCCCTGACAAAAGACTGTTTGGACAGTCGTTTGCCCGCTTGGCGTATTAGCGAAAGCTGTTGTTTTCTTAGTATTCGTTTCAAGACCTGTTAAATTGTCAAAGTTGTTGTTGAGTTGCCAAGTACTGTAAAGCAACTTGCCAGCTACTTCATGATCAACACTCTGTGTTCTCATGTTGGAGTCATCGAGGAAACTTCCCGTCTGCAAATGTCCTCCTTCACAGGATGAGCATTCCATTGCGCGTGGAGAGCAAGGCTTGCGCCGCATTAATTAGAGAATGCGAACAAGCTTGAACGTAGCCGTTCCTGCGAAAGGTGAAATTTGAAATAGCACCGTTTATTTTAAAGCAGCTACGCAAGTGTTCATAAAACTTCCTCTCGGCATTCACTAGCTGCAGTGGCATGCCCAAAGCAAGCAGCAGCTCATGGCATATCTCTTGCGGTAAAAGGTCAACAACTTACGCCGATCTAAAGATATGCCCATCACATGGGCATTGCCAGCAGCTTGAAGCTGCAAAGAAAGCTCATATGACACATCTAACATCTGCTGATTCGTGGCCAGGCCTTGCACCATGCATGCTTTCTGGAAGCCACAGGTTTCTCCATGACTGCAGTTGACGGTAACGCAAACCACTCCAAACCGTACC